ACATAACTGCTGGCTCTAAATGATATATTTTTGACAACTTATTTGGTAAATAAAAAAATTACGGGGTGATTCTGCATGATTGCACAATCATCATCCAGCTTGAGCAAAATATTCTAGTTCCTTTTCTTTTTTTAACGTATGCACAGATGGTCTATTTGCTCACCCAGAATCAAACTATTGTGTTCCTGACCCTCAGTAGCCTTCCAGACTTCTTCAGGCTGCTTTGATCATTGTTTAGCTACCCTGTTCTTTGAATGCTCAGCATGAGTTTTACTTTTCACCCCCCCGATGAGCTCCCATGCTCTGAACATTGTGATCTTCTGACAGTCCAGGTATCAAAACAATGTTCTGCCTTCTTTTTGAGATTTACAGGCTGGATGTCTGAAAGCTGCTGTGTCCTTCTGCTTTTGAACGATTCTGTCTCTTTGTGTTGCAGAATACGAGGACGGTGTCCTGTCATCGTGGGTGAACAAAGAACGCTTTCAAGGATACCTTCAGATCGATGGTTTTACGTTGTATGAGCTTGGTGAAACAGGTGACGAATGCTGTTTTCGTACATAATACAACTCCCAAATTTCATTCTTTTGGGGTTTTTTGGTAATCACACTTTAATTTTTTACAAAATATTAACTGAATATTTAGCGGGGCTATTTTTTGCTCAATAGTTAAATTGTTTTAGAGGTAAAATATTGCCATGGAGCGTCACAAAACTTCACAATATTCACTAAATTCCTAAAGAATAAACAAATGTAGAAAATGCTTACATGTTAAAGTCAAATCTGGAACATGTTTAGTAATGCTTGCATTTTTCCTCCCTTCTTCTTTGTCACAATAGATTCAGCTCAGTGTTTATTAGCCTATTTGGAATTATTTTACTTTAACTTGTGCATTTTATTGTTTTTTTTTTCCCCTTTATGTCTTTTTTACTCTTTACAACACGGGAATTAAAGTTCCTCATAAGCACTTCTGAGCTGCATACTAAATACAGGCACACATCATTTGAAGTGTGTCATCACAATTTTATTATAAAATTAACTCCCTAATGTTTAGCAGCCCCACCACAAATATTAGCAAGTAGCAACTTAAAAATTAAACATTTATAGCAGCTGTTGTAGAAAAACCTGCCTTACTTTGGCATTTAGGCTACATTTACAAAATGAAAAGAGATCCTTGCCCCCACGAAACAGCCCATATTCTTGTTCAAATACAGTTTTCCATGAAAAAGTATATTAAGTGCAAGATGGAAATACAAACTGCCCCTTAAACAGCAGTAAATTGATGCTCCGTGCAAAAATGCTGTGCTTTTCTAATATTGGATACAGCATTTTCCTCCTTTCTGAGCTTTTTACTGAGAACATTGAGGCAGCTGTGGATCAGCCGTGGTCCTGAAACTGGAAGGTTGACAGTTTGATGCTCAGTTTTCAATGTGTCGAAGAGGCAAGACACAACACCCCCATGCTGATATGCTAATTGGCATGTTGTACGTGTAGTAAAAAGCATGCATGTGTATATAAAAACACATTTTTATCCATTTTGTATAATCTAAACAAGCTTTAAAAGGTGCTGATGCATGCTCAATAATCCAGGTACTGTATTTTTCGCCCTATGAGTCAGTTTTTTTTGCGTAATTTGCATTTCCTGCGACTTATATGCCAAAGCAACGTATATGGATTTTTTTCCCATATTTATAAACCAATTTTTGGCTGGGATATGATCGTTTTCATTCATTCTGACTAAAAATATTGAACACTACCATTTTCAGTCGCTAGATGGCAGTCAAGTAATCTAGCATGCCGTTGGATCATGTAATATGGAAAAGTAGCTGTTAATGACACATTTGGCTTGCCATAGCCTGCCACAGTCATCTGCCTTGAGCAACCGTCAAGTCAGCTTAATTTTGCTGCGCCGCCCCGGCGAAATGCAGCCGATTTGACTGTCAAAGTGCATTTATAAAGTAAAAGTTCAACTGAGACACACCTTTATTATAAAGTGGAGCTAACAAATATTTGTTTTTAGGTGGTTATCTTGTTAAATTTCAAAGAAATGGACAGTGAGTCGCCCTCTGCGCGTTCATGTTTTCGCGTATCGGCTTTTGAAATGCAGCTGATTTGATTGTTAAAGTGCATTTATTAAGTCAAAGTTCAACCGAGACACACCTTTATTATAATTTCAAGCAAACAAATAATTGTTTTTAGGTGGTTATCTTGTTAAGTTTTGAAGAAATGCACAGTGAGTCCTCTCGTGCACGCGCCTACCCCGGTACTTCCGCATATCGGCTTTTGAAAATACAGCTGGTTTGACCGTCAAAGTGCATTTATTAAGGAAAAGTTAGACTGAGACGCACCTTTGATATAATGTTGAGCAAACAAATAATTGTTTTAATCTTGTTAAATTCTTAGTCCTCCCGTGCATGCTGCTGCGCCAGCAACATTTCCCGGTTGTCAGTGGTGACTCATAATAGATGCGACGTATTTATGGATTTTTCCACTTTATTAGACGTATTTGGACTGATGCGACTTATAGGGCGGTGCGACGGGTACAGCAGAAAATACGGTATCCAACTAGGTTGAGTCAGGTCCTCTGGACAGATTCTTCTATGTTGAAACGTTTCGTCTTTTATCCGAAAGACTTCTTCAGTCTGAGGAGCTGCAACAAACTCAGTCTTATAACTAGCACCTCTCGTAGTGGATCAAGCAGTTTGCTGGTGACATCCAGAACTAGCTGTTCACATGTAAAAGGAGGTCCATCTGCCTAACGACCAATTGTTAGTGCCCTGATGGCTGCTTGCTATTCACAGAGGGCTATGTGATGCTAGGAATAACTGTGTGGTAAGAAGGTATTGGAGTAGTTGGACACGGAGGCCTCCGCCCCCGTTTATAATGATGGACAGTTTCTCTTCACAAAGATGGCTTCCTTCACTCCTCTCTCAAACCAGTGTTCCTCTCTATCAAGGATGTGAACATCTTCATCCCTAAAAGAATGACCGCTGGCCTGCATATGAGTGTAGACCTCAGAGTCCTGGCCTGATGCTGCCGCTCTTCTGTTCTGGACCATCCTTTTTAGCCAGTGGTGATTCTGCTTCTCCTGCTTGCAGCTCCTCAGACAGAAGAAGTATTTTGGATAAAAGACGAAACGTTTCAACAAAGAAGAATCCATCCAGAGGACCTGACTCAACCTTGTTAAATTTAAAAGGTGCTGTTTAAGTTCTTAATATTTTATGTCCTGCTGGCAGTTGGATGCTGCTGAAATGCTTTCCTTTCTCTCTGATCCAAGCCCAACTTTCTGTGTATTAACATCTGTGCTTATAAAATACTCTGTGTATGATGTTAACTGGATAAACAATGTGTGACTGATGGAAATCTTACAGTTTAGGTTGACGTGAATGTGTGTAGAAACAAACAAATAAATAAATGGCAGCTGCCTTGTCACTGAAGTGTTTTCAACCTTTTCAACCAAGGATCACATTTCATGCTCCTGGGCTCAGTGAAGCTGGTGGGATGACATTTTATGCTTGAAAATCCCCTATCCAACACTTCACAAGCCATAAGCAGACAGAGGTCTGGACCCACATCTAAATACTAGCATGACGGAAATCAGTGAAGAGCCTGAAACTGTGAATTAAATTATTTATGTGGCATGATTTAAGGGACTGAAACACAGACTGAGAGATGAAGCACAATCTGTTTGAACACGTTAGAAGGCCGTTCTCTTTTCATTGAGGTGTTTTCCAGGGGTGGAAACACAAAAAACAAACAACCAACCCATATACCATTAGCATAATAAACTATTGCATTTGTATGCATTTTTATTTTTTTCCCCATTCTGTTAAAACCATGAATCTCGCTGCATATTAATACTGGATTTACACACCAAACCAGTCTGTAAACATTATCGGCTGAGTAAACGATGCACTTCCTAAACCAGTGGATTAGATGGAGCAGATTTCAGGAACTATGATGCGAGTTCTCGGATGGATGTATTAAATTAGATTACATCACTGCACAAGAGAGAACACGTCTTTAAGCTTTCATCAGAAACTCTTTCTACTTTGAAGGATGTGGGCTTTTATGAGAGATTCACAAATGCTTTATGATGCACTGAAATGTGAAGCAAGATTCTATTCAAACCCTGAACTTCTTATGTAATCAGCTTTAATTAGGAATCCAAAACACCTCAACTTGTGTTATGGTATAACTGAGAGTCATGAAGCTGCAGAAAAGAAAAACGGCGTTAAATTTCTGTAGTTTTACTTCATCTGTGGGTCACAGATAGGCCTGTCATGATAACAAATTTTGCTGGGCGATTTATTGTGTCAGAAATTATTGTGATAAATGATGATAATGTTTGAAATTTGACAATAATTAGTAATTATTGTCAAATTTAAGAAGAAATGTTGGTTAATTTTTGAGTGTAGTACGTTTTTTTGACCACCGGATGGCAATATAAGACAGCTTGAACCTAAGGATGGATAGTGAGGGAGCGAGCAGCGTGTCTCTTTAAGAAAAATAGGAGGGAAGCCCCTTGACGGGACATGTTCTGTCTCTCGTTCCTGTTTTTCGGTTCTCAAAATGGCGGACGCTCGGTGTGGTTTGAGCTCTTTAGCATAGCATTTTTCACACAAAGCTTTTAATAAAAAAATCAATAAACAAGTTCTCAGCTTCTTTTTGCAGAGAAAAACAACTTTTTACACAAAGGTACAGGCTTCAACTGTGAATTTTGGAGCTTCAACAAGACGGAGGTTTTTTTTTTCAGAGGTCGGCCTGTTAGCTTAGCTCGTAGCATAGCTTCCTTCTTAGCTTAGCTGCTTTTAACGATCCAACAAACAATTTTGGGCAGTTAAAATGGATTTTAAAAGAGAGAAGAGGAAGGGAGAGGTCAGTGAAGAGCACCGGGGTTGAGCCTTTTGTCATCCAGTGTCTTCAGTAGAAAGAGAGACACGAATAGACGATAAAGCTAATAAATGAAAATAAGTAGATAATTTTCATTTATCATACGATTAATTGATTTATTGTTTATCGCGACTGGCCTAGTAACAATTGACCAAAATATTCAGAGAAAGCATTTTCCTAGTAAGATATGAAATATAAAAATTAGGAAAAACTTCTGAGTAGATGAAGCAAAGATATGAAATGAAATAAAAATAATAAGTACTAGAGAAATTGCCTTTAATGTGAAAATGCAGTGTGAATTCTGATTTCTGAATGATTTTTGCTGAAAGCTGCTGAAATGGTTTTTGTCGCTAAACTGTTAATACAAGTTGGATCTGAACAGCTGACTTAGCTGAAATCAGGAAAATAAAGATGCAAAACAGAAGAGAAACAGTAGAAATGTATAGAAAAAGCTGAATAGGGTAAAATGAAGTGGAATAAGCTAAAATTAGGAAAAAATAAACTGAAATATGCAGACAAAAGCTGACATTTTTTAACAAAAAGAAGTTGAAACGATCAGAAAGAAGCACAAAAGACAATCAAAAATATATCTGGGGAAAAAAGGCTAAATTTAGCAGAAAATTATCTACAAAGTAGCTGAAAAAGT